AGGGCGTGGGCTGGGACGTGGGCGTGTGCCTGGAGAGCGTGCAGAGGTTCGTGGAGACTTTGCAGAAGCCCGAGGCTGGCTTCTGGGCCCTGCGGCTGTGCGCCAGGGACGGCTACCAGGCACTGACCTGGCCGCGCACAACCCTAGGCCTGGAGGAGCCGCCCCTGGTGGTGGGGGTTCTTGTGGACTGTGAGGTCGGCGTTGTGTCCTTCTACAACGCGACCTCGGGCTCCCACCTCTTCACCTTCCCCAGGGCCTCCTTCCCCAGCGTCCTGAGGCCCTATTTCCAGGTTTCCCCGTATTCCCCCCTGTTCCTGCCCAGCCCGGACGAGTGAGGCGAGGAGCAGGCCTCCGTGTGGCTGAGCCAGCAGAGAGGAGTGTCAAGGCCTAGGGTGGGATTCGGGCCTAGGGTGGGGTTCTCCATGCTATTTCCCTGCCCCAGAGCAGTGCTGGGCTGTTAGTGGATCCTGGGTGTATCTTCCTTGTGTGTGTATGTGTGTGTGTTGGGGGGGTGGGGAGGGGCGGTGTGGACGGGGAATGGATGTAAAGACTGTAAAGCCGGGCTGGGTGGCCCAGTGGTTGAGTGTCGACCTGTGAACCAGGAGGTCATGGTTTGATTCCCACCTGGGTTAAGGGCTCCACCCCCAGTTGGGGTGTGCAGGAGGCAGCCAATCAATGATTTTTTTCTCAATGTTTCTGTCTCTCCCTCTCCCTTCCTCTCTGAAATCAATAAAACATATGATATACACTGAGTGGCTAGATTACTATGCCCACCTGACGTGTGTAGGCAAATTAGCCATATGCTGCCTTGCATGGTATATGGAAGCCAAAGGCCTGTTCAAACACCTTTACTGTCTGAAGTTACCAAGATAAAACGTCTCCAATTCGCACAGGAACACAAGGATGGGACCGCTGAGCACTGGAAAAAAGTCATGAATCACGTTTCCTGTTGCATCATGCAGATGGCAGAATGAGAATTTTGCGGAAGCAACATGAAAGCATGCACCCCACATGCATGAGTACAACCCTTCAAGCTGGTGGGGGCAGTGTTACAGTTTGGGGCATTTTTTTTTCTTTCTTGGCATGATTTGGGCCCTTTAGTTTGTGTGGAACAACGTCTGAATAGCACAACATACCAAGTATCGTTGCTGATCAAGATCATGCTATCATGTTGATGGCATATCCCAATGGAGATGGCTTCTTCCAACAAGATAATGTGCCATGCCTCCGTGCTCGTATTGTGCGGGATTGGTTTCAAGAACGTGAGGGAGACGTTCCCTTGATTAGGCGGCCCCTGCAATCACCAGATCTTCATCCAATTGAGCATTTGGGGGACGAAGTTAAAAGCCATCAGGCAGCTGGTTCCACAACCATCCAATCTCCCGGGACAGGACAGTGCTATTCCTCAGGCATGGGGTCCGATTCCTCGCATCACCTTTCAGCATCTCCTGGAGTTGATGCCAAGGAGAATGGCCACAGTATTGAAGGCAAAAGGTGGCCCAACGAAGTACTGATGGGGCGGTCATAGTAACCTGGCCACTCAGTGTTTATTTCCTGTAAAAATACGGCAGGGGTCAGTCTCGGCCTCTCCATCCCCCTTTGCAGGCTTCGGAGCTTTGATTTCCAGACGTCCTGGGTTACTGGTTGGGTGACTGAGGTCAGGAGGCCCAAGTCCCACCCAGCATGTTTGATATGGTTTGAGATAGGGGTGGGGGGGGGGGGGGGGGGAGGAGGGGAATGGGAAGGTTGCACAAAAGAACTGAAAAACCAAACTAACAGTGAGTCTTTTAGTCACTGACCCTTTGGTTAATAATCTGAGCCACACATGAGGGTTGGAGAGGGAGCGGGAGAGGGAGAAGGACATATGTAATACTTACTATAATCAAGCTTTATTAAACAAATAAAAAGTGCCTTGAAAGAGGAGCCTCTTTTTCCAGATCGTGAGGAAAATGGACAGATGTGGTGGGGCTGGTGACCAAGCTGGGAGGCTACGGACGATGAGGTGGACTCAGAAGCTTGTGCTCAGTTTTGTTGGGAACCAGAGTGTCTGCGGAAGCATCTGGTTCAGTGTCCACGGGTCCGTGTTGGAAAGCCGTGCAGGTGATGGGGGAGCGGAACACAGGGAACCATTCACACTTGGACCCAATGTGGGATGTTGAGGGATGTGACTAATGTACGCACCTTCACTCCAGTATGACGCTCTCTGACACAATAAACGTTACTCCCTAGCCGAAACCGGTTTGGCTCAGTGGTAGAGCGTCGGTCTGCGGACTGAAAGGTCCCAGGTTCAATTCCAGTCAGGGGCATGTACGTTGGTTGCGGGCACATCCCTGGTAGGGGGTGTGCAAGAGGCAGCTGGTTGATGTTTCTCTCTCATTGACGTTTCTAGCTCTCTATCTCTCTCCCTTCCTCTCTGTAAAAAATCAATAAAAATATATTAAAAAGTAAAAAATAAAATAAATGTTACTCCCTAGAACTTAGAACATAAAATAAAGTAAAATAAAATAAAATGTGTTGCTCTAGCCAAGTGATGATGAGAGAAAATGATGAGAGAAGATCATCCATTTGCAGCTCCTGCTGCCCGGCACTGGGGATGAAGCCCGCAACTGGGGTGGATGGAACTGGGAGCTCTTGGCTTGTAGGACGCCCCACCCCTGACACACGGGCTGGGCCGTGCAGTCCTTTTGCTCTAAGTGCTGGCCCCACAGTGACCTGGGGCCTCCTGGCTCCCGCCTCCCAGCTGGGTCCTGGCTGCTGGTGATGCTGAGGAGTGTCTGACCCTGCACAGCGCCCTGAGGAGGAGGAGAAGGAGGAGGAGAAGGAGGGCAGAGGTCTGCAGCCCTTTCCACCTCCCCCTTCATAGAAGCGATGAAAGAATAGGGACCTAAACATGGCAGAAAATGAGATAGCATCCGCCCTTGAGATGGTGGGTGGGTGGCCAGGGCAGGGAGAGCTGCAGTGGGGCCTCTGGCTGTGCTGATCCCCGAGCTCAGAAGCTCCTGCTGGCCCAGAGCCCAGGTCCCGGTGAGGATCTGTCCCCATTCCTCGTGGCCGCAGAAGGACTTCTTCCCACCTTCCCCTCCCTGCCAGGCTCAGCTAGCTACGGGCACATGCTTAGGGCCCAGTCCAGCAACGGGCACACGCTTAGGGCCCACCCCAACCATATACACACGCTTAGCGCCCAGCCCAGACATGTGAACATGCTTCGGGCCCAGCCCAGCCACCTGCAAAGACTTAGGGCCATTTCCTGGTTTCCTCTCCAAACCCAGCAGAGGCCCCGCCCCACAGCAGGCAGTTTCATTTCTACTGGAGTCCAGCTTCATTTCTACTGGGAAAGCTGCTGCTCCAGGCGACTCCCTACAGCAAGTGCGTGACATTGTTGGGGGCTCAGGTACTGGGGAGGGTCCGGGCGGGTCTCCCAGGGAGGGTACTGACACCCAGTGTGTGAACAGGAAGGAGGGTGCGGTGGGGGGCCCGGGGCGGCAGGGAGGGGTGGGTTTCAGACACCAGGGCTTCTGGACTCTGTCCCTCCAGGCCCGGCCGGCCGCCCTTCACTGAGGCTGCTTTCCTTAAACCAAACTCCAAGCTGGTTCAACCTTAGGAGATCCCAGGTGTGAAGGTAAGGGAGTGGAGGCTGGGACAGGTCCCCGGGGCACCTGGAGGGCAGGTCCTGTCCTGGGGACACAGCCCAGTCACAGAGGACCCCAGTGTGTGCCCGGAAGTCACCTGCCCAGGATGGGGCTCTGAGCAGAGACTGTGGCTCCGAGGCTGCCCTGGTGACAGAGGAAGAGGCCATCCGGGGACTCAGGGATTTGGCTGTTTCCCCACCATTGTCAGGTCCAAGCAAGGTCTCTCTGCAACCTGCCTGCCTCCCTCCGATCCCAGGAGGGCAGGCCTGGCTCTGAGGAGCTGCAGCCCGGGCCAGGTTCCAGGGTCCCTCCTTAGCTCTCTGGTTCCTAGGTCCTCCCTGGAGGAACTTGGGGTGTTTTCCCATTTGTGTTCCCCACAATGGTTCCAATTGCCTGGAACTTCTCTTGGGAAAGAGTCCTAATTAGAGGGGAGAGGTCACCTGACTGGTCCTCCAGGACCCATCTCTGCACAGACACGGTCTTTCCTATAAAACAAAACAAAAATGTTTTTATTGATTTCAGAGAGGAAAGGAGAGAGAGAAACATTGATCATGTTTCCCCTGTATGTGCCCCACGGAAAATGGAGCCCACAACCCAGGCCTGTGCCCTAACCGGGAATGGAACCATGACCTCCTGGTCCAATAGTCCACACTCCACCCCTGAGCCAGCCAGCCAGGCTGGCGCCTCTCAGGTCAGGGAGGATCTGCAGGGCAGCCTTGTTTACTTCTGGGTCATCCCACTTGGGTTTCACTGGAGGAGATTTTTCCATTGTTTCTTACAGAGAACGGAAAGAATGGCAGCTGGAGAGGGAGAGAGAGAGACCTCGGGAATTGAACCCAGACAAGTCAGTGAGCAGTGGACGCTCTGCTACTGAGCGCACTGGCCAGCCTTCGTGCTCTGTGGGGGGCAGTCGGGGAGAAAGGCTGGGGTGGGAGGCTCAGCGGGTCCACAGTCACTGTTCCAATGGAATCTCCTGAATCCACCCGGTTCCTTAAGCTGCAAAGAAAGGATCCTGGAACCAGTTATTCACTATTATTCCTCATGTTCCTCTGGGTGGAGAGACATTCTCACAGGGCCTCACTGAGGTCTGGGGGTCTTCCCGCCTCGTTTTCACCCTCCCTGTGTCCGGGGTCCAACACCTCCTTTCCCCATGAAGGATGCTCTATATTGGGGCTTCATGCAGCCCCCCACCCCGTGGTTATGAAGCAATTGAAATATGACCAGTCCTGTCAGGTGTGGCTCAGTGGAAAGTGCATTGGCCTGTGGACTGAAGGGTCCTGGGTTTGACTGTGGTCAAGGTCAGGTACCTGGGTTGCAGGTTCCATCTCTGGCCCTGGTCAGAGTGCATGTGGGAGGCAACCAATGGATGTTTCTCTCTCTTTCTCTCCCCTCCCCACCACTCTCTCTACAAATCAATGGAAGAACATCCTCGGGTGAGGATAGCCCTGAAAGTTAAATTCTATTTCATTGTAGTCAATGGAGTTGGGGTCCTACCCTGTTCCACAGCACAGCTGCTCTCTGCATCGTCTACATTGCAGCCCTTTCTTCCTCCAGATAATCCTCAAGGCCCGTGCGGACACGGCAGCCGGGCGCCCATAGGAAGCGTGGGGTGGGTGCATGGCCTCTGCTGTGGGGAGCCTCAGAGTCTGGCATTGCAGGATTCGGCAGAGGCATGGCGTCGGCCACCACCAGCAAGAAGATGCGGGAGGAGGCCACCTGCCCCATCTGCCTGCAGCTGATGGCCGAGCCCATGAGCATCAGCTGTGGCCACAGCTACTGCCAGGCCTGCCTCCTGAGCTTCATGGGCCTGGCCTCCTCCCCACTGAGACAGCAGGACACGGAGACCTTCTCCTGCCCCCAGTGCCGGGCTCCCTTCCAGAGAGGCAGCCTGCGGCCCAGCAAACAGCTGGGGAACCTCATTGCCGCCCTCCGGGAGCTGGAGCAGGAGCAGGAGCTGGAGCAGGAGCAGGAGCAGGAGCAGGAGCAGGAGCAGGAGCAGGAGCAGGAGCTGTTTTGCCAGGAGCACAGGGAGCGGCTGCTCCTCTTCTGCGAGGACGAGGGCCAGCTCATCTGCTGGCGCTGTGAGCGGGGCTTGAGGCACAAGGGCCACACCACCTCGCTTGTGGAGGACGCGGGCCCCAGCTACCAGGTGAGTGCCCCCTCGTGTGCCTGAGACCTCATCAACCAGCCCAGTGCCCCCTCGTGTGCCCGAGACCCCATCATCCAGCCCAGTGCCCCCTCGTGTTTGAGACACATATGATCCCGCCCAGTGGCCTCTCGTTTACCTGAGAACCTCATCCCCCAACTCAGTGCCCCATCATGCTCCACTACCCCTTTCATTTCACCCAAGGCCCCAAGTACACCATGAGGCCCCATCAACCACCCGGAGGCCCAAAGTTGGGACCCTGAATTCTAGCTTTCCTTGTGTGTTCTTCTAGATGAGGTGGGCGGTGGAGGGGGTCGTGGGGTTGGATGGGGGTGGAGGGTTGGGATAGAAAGTGGTGAGAAGGTTTAGGCTGGGGCCTCCCTTAATCCAGTCCCGGCTGTCCAGCCCCACCTTCCCGGATGGTCAGGCTCACCCAGGACCCCACCTCATCATGAAGTGGTTCTTATTCTAGAGCGCCATGCACTCAAATGCAGATATGCGTGGTTATTTTTTTGTTTTGTTCTGATAATCCTCACCTAAGGATATTTATCTATTTATTTTTAGAGAGACTGTAAAGGAGGAGGAGAGAGAGAACAGCATTGATCAGAGAGAGATATAGATTGGTTGCCGGGTCAACATGCGGCGACCGGGCCAGGAACTGCAGCAAAGGTATATGCCCTTGACCGGAATCCAACCCGAGACCCTTCAGTTCATGGGCTGAGGCTCTATGCACTGAGCCAAACCAGCCAGGGCTGCACCTGCACATTTTATAGCCTCATAGGTGCCTGTAATGAGATGGAGCCGTGTGTTTAGGGAGGGTGGGAAAGTGAAGAACAGGGACCAAGCAAACCTCATGGTCAGCCTGCTGTCCAGTAGGGAAGACTCACCGGTGAAATGACAGCCTGGCTCCCCTGGCCTGTTTGGTGGGAAGGGGAACCCCAGGGTGGGGCTGGTCTCGGGGAGCCCTCCCACAAGTGAGTCCTGAGAAGCCTACACACTAAGCATGTGGCCCTGGCAGCCTGACTCAGTGGTTGAGCATCCACCTAGGAACTAGGAGTTCACGGTGGGATTCCTGGTCAGGGCACATGCCTCAATATCAGGCTCCATCCCCAGTGTAGGGTGTGCAGGAGACAAGTGATCCATGATTATCTCTCATCACTCATGTTTCAGTCTCTTTCTTCCTCTCTGAAAGCAATAGGAATATATACATATTTATAAACAAAATTAACGGCATGAAGAAGTGTGAGCATAGAGAGGGCTCTCCATGTGAGAGGACCCTGTGGCAAATACACAGCCAGGGGGCGGGGGCGAGTAGGGAAAGGCAGGAGTCCCTGAGCCTTCCAATCAGCTCAGTCTAGGTGCCCACAGGGTGTCCTGACTATTAGCCCAGAGGAGGACCAGGTGACATTGGACAGAGAGCGCTGGGCACCGACAGTCAGGTCATTCCCGTGAGAGGGAGCAGCAAGGTGTGGGTCAGCAAGAGTCACTCCATGTCTCCCTCCAGGAGCAGCTCCAGGAAGCGGTGAGGAAACTGAGGCAACTGGAAGAGGAATGCACCAGCCAGAAAGCGTTCATGGCCAAGCAGATAGCCGAGTGGAATGTGAGAATGGGGGCTTCTTGTCAGGGCTGCTGGAGGGCACCCTGGGCTCAACTGCAATCCCCACCCAGTAGGGCGTGTGCAGGAGGCAACAGTGGAAGTCTCTCCCACAATGATGTTCCTCTCGCTCTCCCTCTCCCCACCCTCCCTCCCTTCCAGTCCCTGCTTTCTAACAATCATTGGAAAGAACCTCCTCGGGTGAGGATTAACAACAGCAACACTAAAAAGACACGGGTTTCTTGGTGTCAAACTCTTTTCTGTCCTGGCTTAGGTGTAGGGTCTGACCAGGCAAAGCACAGTCACGGTGTCACTGAACCAGAGGGGGCAGGTGAAACCCCGAAAAGAAGCCATTGTCCTTCGTTGTCTGCATGGATGAGATCTCCTCTCCTGCCCCTCTGCCTTCCAGCAGGAAATGGCCAGGAGGGTAGCACCTGTCAGAGATGCAGAATCACATGCCTGCTTACCAAGAGCCATCCCCACTGGGTTTCCTACTTTCTTTCTATTTTATTTTATTTTATTTTATTTTATTTTATTTTATTATTTTATTTTATTTTATTTTATTTTATTTTATTTTACTTTACTTTATTTTATTTTATTTTATTTTATTTTATTTTATTTTATTTTATGTTTGTATTTATTTCAGAGAGGAAGGGATAGGTAGAAACACCCAAAAGGAGAGAGAATCATGGATGGGTTGCCTTCTACCTGCCCCCTACTGAGGATGAAACCTGCAAATTGGGCATGTGTCCTGACCAGGAGTCCCACTGTGACCTCCTGCTTCATAGCTGGAAGCTCTACCCTGAGACCTGCTGGCCGGGCTGAGCATCCTCTCTTGACTCTAGGAGAAGATAGAGGCTCGGAGTCAGAAAATCCAGGAGGACTTCAAGAACCTGCACAGCTGCTTGAGTAAGGAGAAGAGGTACTTGCAAATACTAGAGAGCGAGAAAGAGCACACACTGCGGAGACTGAGGGAACGTGAGGCCAAACTGGAGCAGCAGAGCCGGGAGCTGGAGAGCTGCATCCTGGAGCTGGAGGAGCGATGCCAGGGCTCTGCCCAGAAGATGCTGCAGGTGAGGAGGACGCCAAGGTGGCGGGTCCTGAGCTGCTCCGGGGGGAGGAACGTGGGGAGCGTGGCAAAAGGCAGGACTATATGCCTTACTCAGCGGTGGCACATCACTGTGGGGAATGAAAGGCATATTGCTCTTCTTTTAATTTAGTTATTTTGTTAATCCTCACTTAAGGGTATTGTTCCTTTAGTTTTAGAGAGAGTGGGGTGGAGAGGGAGAGACAGAGAGAGAAACGTCAATGAGAGAGGGACACATTGATTGGTTCCCTCTCATAGGTGCCCCAGACCTGGGCTGGGGATCAAGTCTGCAACTAAGATGTGTGCCCTTGACCGGAATTGAACCTGGGACCCTTCAGTCCACAAGCTGACTCTCTATGCACTGAGCCAAACTGGCTAGGGCATAAAGGCATATTTCTTTTATTTTTATTTGTTGTCATTTTTTAAAAACATTTTTTATGGATTTTGAGAGGAAGGAAGAGGGAGAGAGAGACAGAAACATCAATGATGAGAGAGAATCATTGATGAAGACTGCAACCTGGACATGTGCCCTGACAGGGAATCAAACCCTGAATTACTGGTTCATAGGTTGATGCTCAACCACGGAGCTACACCTGCAGGGCTAAGCCTATTCTTTCAAAATATTGGACAGACTAAAACCTACAAGGGCTCTGTATATCAGAAGCTTTTGACTTGGCACAAATATCCAGTGTGGGTCAGTGGATAGATCAGCAGCCTGAGGATCTAATGGTCCTGGTTTCAATTCTAGTCAAGGGCATGTACCTGGGTTGCAGGCTCCTCGCTGTCCCCGGCCGTGGTCAGGGCTCCTGTAGAAGGCAACCAACAGGTGTGCTTCTCTTGGGTGAAGGTCAAGAAGAATAAAATCCCCTGCAGGTAGAGAGGTGGGTTCCTCCGCTGAACAGGCTCCCGGGATGGCTTCTGCTCCCACCTGCCTGGTTCTCAGATCACACAATTCTGATGGTCAGGTGATGGCGGGGACCAGGTGGGGTTGCTGCATGATTGATGGGTGAGCCTTTCCTGCTGGGCCCTCCTTCCAGCCTCAGGAAGGTGAACCTCTTTTCTCACTCCCTCTTCCCTGGTGCTCCTCTCTGGTCCGGCTGGTAGAACTGGAGAGCACACAAGGGTGACCATGTCTCATGGCTGTTCCATCCCCGTGGGTCATTGTGGCTGCCAACTCAGTTTCCAGTCTGGGTGCTCACACTCACCTCCAAGAGGCTTTGTGACACGTGGCCTCTTTTGGGATGAGCTCTGAGGGAAGTGAGGCCAGAGGGAACATGGTGTCTCCCACCCTCCCAAGGAGCCTGCACGCTCCCCAAAACCTCAGCAAGGAGGGCGCCTGGCTCAGAGGCTGAGCTGTTTCCTGCCTGGCTGACCGTCCCAAAGGCCTGAGTGGGGATCCTTACACGGGGTGTCTATCTGTTTGGTACCCAGAATCCCCCAGGGCGGACTTGGGCAGCCTGTCGCTGTGTCCAATCACGAAGGCGCGTTGAGGTCTATGAGGTGTTCACTGAGAAGGCCAGCCCACCAAGCAGACAGGGCGCTTACAAGCATCAAGTGCTGTCTCCCAGCAGGAGCAGGGACAGGAGTGTAAAGGGGGAGGGGCTGGGGTGCTGTGTGCAGGCCTGGGGGCCTCAGCCGCCTGTTATTATCCTTAGTCCCCAGATGAGGAGATGGTGCTGATCAGATGGTGTTTTGGCTCCTGGTGACCCTGAGTATGGGTTCTGCTCACAGGACTCACAGCTGAGCCACCTCCCCAATCACATGGCACAGGGCTTGGAAAGGAAACTTAGGAAAAACTTAACCACTGTTCCCATGTGAGAACCTTACCCCTGATCCCGTAAGGGTAAGTGTCCTCAGATGGGAACAGGAGGAGAACTTGCCAGAGTCATTCAGGTGCTCTATCGACCGGGTTATAAGGCCCATCACACCCGCACCCAGGGCCGGGCTGCCCTGTGCCTCTGGGAGGAGCAGGGACCCATGAGCACGCTGCTCACTCACTCACCTGTGCCTTTGCTTCCCACAGGATGTGAAGGGCGCCCTGAGCAGGTGAGTGCTGACGCCAGGGCGAGGGGGAGTGGGGTGCAGAGCTGCGGGGTGCCCACTGAGCATCTCTGGCCTCTGCTCCCCCAGGAGCCAGGCTGTGCGGCTGGAGACCCAAAAGGTCCTCTCCTTGGAGGTTCAGACCGAGTGTGATGTCCCGGAGCTCTACTTTGACCTGAGGAAACGGTTGAGGAGCCACCAAAGTGTGTGTGGGCCTCTGACCAAGCGCCCAGGGGACCGAGCTCAGGGCAGCCTCCGCCCTGCCCGGGTTGAGGGGACAAATGGGAGGGTTTCTACTTTATGGTCACCACCCTGAGATCCTGTTGCTAGTTTGAAACAAGGCTCAGACTCCACAGCACAGGCTGGTCATCTCTACAATAAAAGGTTTTGGAAGGAGGCCCATCTCTAGCTCTGAACCCCAAAGCCAACCAGGGGCCCGCAGGGTGCATGCCCACAGGGGAAAGGTCCCAGGAGGGGTTCTTAGCTGCCTCTTCCCCACTCTCCCAGGGGTCGTTCTTTGAACAAATATGACCCCCAGGACCACATCCCCAGCAGAACTGGGAGTCTGAGTCCTCCATGGCTAAACCGCAGGTGGTGGTGGTTCCCCTGTGAATGCCCACGCTGTGTCCCAGCGCCCTGAATTCTACCCTTGAGCTTCTTCTCATTACACAGGACCCTGCGAGGATGGTCTCCCCCTGTCCGTATTGGTTTGGGATTTCTTGAACCATCTGACAGGGCTGCCTGGCAATCATGAAACTGACATGGAACAGTTTGCAAAGACCCTGCGTGGCCGGGTCACCACGGACGAGGCTTTGGAAGAACTTGTGGACGTCCTCTATGAACAGGCCACGTCCGTGCCAAGGTTCCGGGGAGTCGGAGCTCACCTGTGCTATTACCTGTCCTTTCACCTGACTGTTAGCTCACAGGGGGGCTTCTGCCGAGTGTTCTTCCAAAGATTACAGACTGAACGTGACCTTAGATATCAAGCTGCCAAGGGGGATGAAGCAGCTCGGAAACGATTCCATGGGTTCGTGCTCTTTCGGAGAACTTTATCTTCGGCTCAAGATCGAAGGGGCACAGGCACAGGGTACAGCAGCTGCTCTTTGGGGGCTGTTGGATGCCCTCCTCTCTAACCCTGTGGACGATAACCTGGTTTGTGCGGTACAATTACTGAAGGTGACAGGGCCCTTGAAGGAACAGGGAAAGAAAGACATGGAGGAAGTTATCCAGAGGGTTGTGAATGTCGCCCTGGACGCACCCTGCAGTGCAGACGTGAGGCAGATGGTCTTGGAGCTCGTACAGCTCCGGTCAAGTAACTGGGGGTAAGTCCATGCCCCCTCCGCACCCAAGAGAAGCAGCACCTGAGAATGATCCCAGCTGTTCTGTGTCTGAGCCGCCTCTGGGTCCAGCGGATGGTGCTCCTCTCACTGCAGCTGATCCGATAACCATGCTTCCTGTCAGGAGAGATGTGAGGGCAAGAGAGGGTAGGGGGAGGGGGAAGGGAATATGTAATAGTTACTACAATCAAGATTTATTAAACAAATGAAGAGTGACCTGTAAGAGCAGACTCTTTTTCCAGATTGTGAGGAAAATGGACAGATGTGGTGGGGCTGGTAACCGAGCTGGGAGGCTACGGACGATGAGGTGGACCCAGAAGCTTCTGCTCAGTTTTGTTGGGGACCAGAGTGTCCGCGGAAGCATTGGGTTCTGTATCCATTGGTCAGTGTTGGAAAGCCATGCAGGTGAAGGGAGCAGAATGCAGGGAACCTGTCACACGTGGACCCAAGGATGGATGTTGAGGGATGTGACTAACGTACGCACCTTCACTCATGTATGACGCTCTCTGCCACATAAACTTTACTCCCTAGAACTAAAAACATAAAATAAAATAAAGTAAAATAAAATAGTGTTGCTCTACCTAGTTTAGCTCAGTGGATAGAGGGTTGCCTGTGGACAGAAGGGTACCAGGTTCCATTTCAAGGGCATGTATGTACCTCTACCAATCGATGTATTTGTCTCTCTCTCTCTCTCCCCCTCCTTTCCACTCTAAAAAATCATTGGAAGCCCAGCCAGCGTGACTCAGTGGTTGAGCATCGACGTATGAACCAGCAGATCAGGGTTTGATTCCAGGTCAGGGCACAGGACCCGGTTGTGGGCTAGATCCCCAGGGCGGAGTATGCCGTAGGCATTGGATCCACGATTCTCTGTCATTGTTGATGTTTCTATCTCTCCTCCTCTCCCTTCCTCTCAGAAGTCAACACAATATATTTTAATAATAATAAAAATTGGTCAATCAATGGAAAAATTATCCTTGGATGGAGGGTTTAAAAACAAACAAACAAAACCCCTGCAAATAAATAAATAAATAAATAAATAAATAAATAAAACCAGAAAAGAAAATTAATTGTGCTCTCAATAAGCAAACACCCAATATTTGTTTCCCCTCTCTACCCTGCAGTCAGCGTGACTCTGGATCCAGAAACAGCGCATCCAGAACTAATTCCATCCAAGGATCAGAGACAAGTGACACGGGGGGGCTGTCCCCAGGGCGCCGGGGACCCCTCTCCCCAGAGGTTCACGGTCTCGCCCTGCATCCTGGGCTTCATGCCCTGGCGACAGTACTTCAAGGTGGACGTGGGCGAGGGCGTGGGTTGGGACGTGGGCTGGGACGTGGGCGTGTGCCTGGAGAGTGTGCAGAGGTTCGTGGAGACTTTGCAGAAGCCCGAGGCCGGCTTCTGGGCCCTGCGGCTGTGCGCCAGGGACAGCTACCAGGCGCTGACCTGGCCTCGAACGCCCCTCGGCCTGAAGAAGCCGCCCCTGGTGGGGGGGGTTCTTATGGACTGCGAGGTCGGGGTTGTGTCCTTCTACAACGCGACCTCGGGCTCCCACCTCTTCACCTTCCCAGGGCCTCCTTCCCCGGCATCCTGAGGCCCTATTTCCAGGTTTCCCCATATTCCCCCCTGTTCCTGCCCAGCCCGGACGAGTGAGGCGAGGAGCAGGCCTCCGTGTGGCTGAGCCAGCAGAGAGGAGTGTGAAGGCCTAGGGTGGGATTCGGGCCTAGGGTGGGGTTCTCCATGCTATTTCCCTGCCCCAGAGCAGTGCTGGGCTGTTAGTGGATCCTGGGTATATCTTCCTTGTGTGTGTATGTGTGTGTGTTGGGGGGCGGGGGGGGGGGGGGGGGGGGGGCGGGGCGGGAACACTGTTCGATTCCCACCTGGGTTATGGGCTCCACCCCCAGTTGGGGTGTGCAGGAGGCAGCCAATCAATGATTTTTTTTTTTCAATGTCTCTCCCTCTCCCTTCCTCTCTGAAATCAATAAAATATATGATATACACTGAGTGGCCAGATTATTATGCCCACCTGACGTGTGTAGGCAAATTAGCCGTATGCTGCTTTGCATGGGATATGGAAGCCAAAGGCCTGTTCAAACACCTTTACTGTCTGCAGTCACCAAGATAAAATGTCTCCAATTCGCACAGGAACACAAGGATGGGACCGCTGAGCACTGGAAAAAAGTCATGTGGTTTGATGAATCACATTTCCTGTTGCATCATGCAGATGGCAGAATGGGAATTTTGCAGAAGCAACATGAAAGCATGCATCCCACATGCATGAGTACAACCCTTCAAGCTGGTGGGGGCAGTGTTACGGTTTGGGGCATTTTTTTATTTTCTTTCCTGGCATGATTTGGGCCCTTTAGTTCGTGTGGAACAACGTCTGAATAGCACAACACACCTAAGTATCGTTGCTGATCAAGATCATGCTATCATGTTGATGGCATATCCCAATGGAGATGGCTTCTTCCAACAAGACAATGTGCCATGCCTCCGTGCTCGTATTGTGCGGGAGTGGTTTCAAGAACGTGAGGGAGACTTTCCCTTGATTAGGCGGCCCCTGCAATCACCAGATCTCCATCCAACTGAGCATTTGGGGGACGAAGTTAAAAGCCATCAGGCAACTGGTTCCACAACCATCCAATCTCCCGGGATAGGACAGTGCTATTCCTCAGGCATGGGGTCCGATTCCTCGCATCACCTCTCAGCATCTCCTGGGGTCGATGCCAAGAAGAATGGCCACAGTATTGAAGGCAAAAGGTGGCCCAACAAAGTACTGATGGGGCGGTCATAGTACCCTGCCACTCAGTGTTTATTTCCTGTAAAAATACGGCAGGGGTCAGTCTGAGCCTCTCCATCCCCCTTTGCAGGCTTCGGAGCTTTGATTTCCAGACGTCCTGGGTTACTGGTCGGGTGACTGAGGTCAGGAGGCCCAAGTCCCACCCAGCGTGTTTGACATGGTTTGAGACTTGGGGTGGCGGGGGGAAGGGGTGGAAAGGTTGCACAAAAGAACTGAAAAACCAAACTAGCAGTGAGTCTTTTAGCCACTGACCCTTTGATTAATAATCTGAGCCACACTCGGCCTGCGTGGCTCAGTGGCTGAGTGTTGATCTATGAACTAGGGGGTCATGGTTTCTCTCCCGCCAAGGGCATAGCATGCCTGGGTTGCACGTTCCTTCCTGGTGGGGGCGCCTGCAGGAGGCAACCAATCGATATGTTCTTCTCACATCGGCATTTCTGTCTTTCCCTCTATCTTTCATGCTCTCTGAAAATCAATCGAAACCCCGAGTGAGGATTAACAATAAATAAATAAGTGAATAAAGGCAATGTGGAACTCTGGGAGGCAGATCGGCCCGCACAACACCAGGCAAGCTCTCTGCTCAGGGTGTGGGCCGCAAGGCGACCCCATAAGGAGGTTGAATTGCTGACAAGCAACAACTTAAAAATAGAAAAACGTGTCAGAAGGAACAGGGATGGCTGGTTGAGGAACAAATTGGCCTGTTTCCTTGGTTCTCAGGCTGTCGGGGGCAAGGGAAGCACCCGGATATTGAGTTGAGATCCACACTCTCCCTGCCCAGCTCCACAGCAAGGAGCCATCTCGTATGCAGGTGAGCCCCCCCCTTCCTTCCTCCTTCCCTCCCTCCCTCCTTTCCTTCCTTTCTTCCTCCCTCCTTCCCTCCCTTCCTCTTTCTCTTCCTCCCTCCTTCCCTCCCTCCTTCCCTCCCTCCCTCCCTCCCTCCCTCCCTTCCTTCATCTGAACATTAAAGACAATTCTATCTCATGGGGTTGCCAGGGCCCTGATGGGACTGCACATGCAAAGATACGGGCATCCATTCGAGTCACGTTGCTTGTGTCTGGATGGCTTCCCACATGAGGAAAATGGAAAGCTATCCCCTGAAACCCAGGCTCTAGGATGCTTTTTAATCCAGGGTTTTTTAAAGGCCAGTATTGAGCGTCACCGGGGAAGACGGCTGCTTCGTGCCTGTGCCAGCCATGCCTGGGTGTCCTTAACCTGGTTGGCTTGGTTCTCGATGGCATCGTGTCTGGAGAACTTCCCTCCTGTCCGATGGGTGACCCGCCCAGGTGAGGGACCAAGATTCCACAGAACATGGCAGGGTTGCGTGTCACACGGCTGTTCTTTTTGAAGCAAAAGGCAGAAAGGAAACAAGGGAAAGCACACACATTTAATGAGTTGTGACATGCTGTGTAATACATACGAGTCGTATGCAAAGAAAATATAGGGGGAGGGGAACCCCCCCAAATTAGAAAACTAACTACCACACAGGAGATAAATGTAAGGTTAATTTTTTCTATTATACGTAAAAAAAAAGGAAACCAATGGGACAAGAGAAAGTCAGACTTCCCAGGGAAAGAGCGAGCGTGGAGTGGGAATTCAGGCGTGCACAGTGAAGAAAGGGAGTGACGGTGTGAGGGAATTCTGCACGCCGTGGACTTGCAGGCATTAACGAGGCCTCCTGTAAGGGCTGGCGGGAGAGGAGCGCTATTTTCAGGATCTGTCAGCAGCGAGCGACCCACTGAAAATTAAAATGGGCTCCCCTTTAGCAATTTCCTCACTAGAACTCTCCTGTCCACGCACCACGGCCAGGAGTGGTAAATGCCTCAGTCCTTGTCAATGGGTTACCATCGCTACGCCGCGTGGAGGACACTTCTTAAGTATTTAATTTAAAACCATTATGAACGTGTCGGAAGGCACATGGATGGCACCTTCACTGTATCTTTAAATTGACTTGAGATTTTCTCAGGTTTTGTTAAGAGACAAAGCAGAAAGCAGCCCGCCGGTGTGAGGCAGGGGTTGAGCGTCCACCTATGAACCAGGAGGTCAGGGTTCGATTCCCGGGCGGGGCACAGGGCACAGGGCACACAGGGCACAGGCTGGGGTTGTGAGGGGCTTCATTCCATGTGCAGGGACGAACAAGGATTCGTTTCTCTCCCTCTCTGAAATCAATAAAAAGATATTTTTTAAAAAGCAAGCGAACTGAGAGCCGAGTTGAGGAACAGTGAGGAAACCTGGCTCATCAAATGCCAATTGCTCTTGGACATGGAAAAGACGGTACACTCCGAATCCCAGAATTAAAACTCCTGAAGCGTAAAGGGACTGTTCTGCCAGAGTCCCACCCCACCGGGTTGAGAGGCAGAGAACTTCCGATGTGACCGGATCTGGGCAGCTGTTCCTCCAGAAGGAAAACTTGGGGTTTGGCTTTTTCGCCTCCTTGCGGCTGAGCTCCTTTATCCGGGCCCCGGCTAGAAGCGAGGGGGGCAGCCGGCCAATCCACCCGGCGTGCGGACGCTGGAGGCCGCCCTGCGGGACACACAGGTGGCCCACGGCCACTCCAGCTCGCCTGCCGCATGGGCTGCGGAGGCGGATGCGGAGCCTTAGGCTCACTGGGCAGCCCAAAAGCTTCTCCCAACTTCAGGTAAGACCGCTTGAGCCCTCCCAGCCTGGGCCAGGGATCCTTCTTTTAAAACCTTCCTCTTGATTTTAGAGACAAATGGATCGGCTGCCCCCTGACCCCCTAACTGGGGGAACCGAACCCACAACCCGGGCTTGTGCTCTGGGCCAGAATGGAACCTGTGACCTTTCCACCCGAAGCCCACTCCTCTGCTCTACCCATAGAGCCACACGAGCCAGGGGTTCGGATCGCAATTACCATCGCTGACTGATGGGGTTTCCCACGCCCCGCAGCAGGTTAAATCCCCGGGAACCCCCACAGGTTTCCAGCAGCTTTGGGCTCCCCCCGAGCACTGCCCGGGGGGGCTATGACGTTCCGTTTGCAAAGGGGCCCAGTCCTCACGTTTGCAAGCTCCTTCCAGAAGCGGGTAGGTGGCTCTTAAAAGAGCCGTTGGGTGAGAGGAACCGGGTTCCAAACCAGACCTACTTCTTCTTGGGCGCCGCCTTCTTGGCCTTGGGCTTGGCCACCTTCGCCTTGGCCGCCTTGGGCCTCACGGCCTTGACCATAACCGGGCTCTTGGCGACCTTCTTGGGCTTCACAGCCTTGGGCTTCTTGGGACTCCTGGCAGCCTTCTTGGCCGCCGCCGCCGGCGGCTTCTTGACCTTCTTCGGGGTCTTGACAGCTTTCTTGGCGGCGGCGGCGGCGCCCGCGGGCTTCCTGGGTTTCTTAGGAGCGCCCGTCGCCTTGGCCTTGACCTTGGCGGCGTTGGGCTTGGCCTCGCCGGAGGCCCCCTTCTTGCTGATCTTGAAGGAGCCCGAGGCGCCGGTGCCCTTGGTCTGCAGCAGGGTGCCCTTGCTCACCAGGCTCTTGAGGCCCAGCTTGATGCGGCTGTTGTTCTTGTCCACGTCGTAGCCCGCGGCCGCCAGCGCCTTCTTGAGCGCGGCCAGCGACACGCCGCTGCGCTCCTTGGAGGCGGCCACCGCCTTGGTGATGAGCTCGGAGACGGAGGGCCCCGCGGGCTTCCTCCTGGCGGCCCCCGCCTTCGCCGGCTTCTTCGCCTTCTTGCCGGCCGAGGGCTTGTCGGGGGCGGCGGAGGCCGAGGGGGCCGGGGGTGCGGTCTCGGACATGGTGGGAGCGGGGAGCGGGGAGCCAACAACCGCAGGAACCGGAGAGGCCGGAGGACCCGCCCGGCCCGGGCGCCGCGTATTTATAAGGCCGGGCCGCGCTGTGATTGGTGCGCGCCGCCGCCGGCGCCCCCTGTCGGCTCGGCGAGGGGCCCCCTTGGTCCCTGCCGCGCGCCCCGGGCTCCGGGGCAGCACGGTCGCCCCGGGGAGACGGACAGACGGGACAGGGGAGGGCCGGGCTCTGCAGCCCCTGAAGCGTTGCGTTCTACTTTTTTAAGAAAAAATGGGATTTTCTCTTT